TGGGCCAGCTGATGTCTGTGCCAGCGAATTCTGGTCTCGGCTCTGACAATAAATAAAGGAGCAATCTGGGGCAAGTCAAGAGGGACTTCCACTTCGTCATCTGAACCGAGGTCGGGAGGGAGTGGACTTCATGATCTGTCATCGCAGCTGCGGGTTTCCTGTCCCACTTGCCCAGGCCCACGGCCCAGGCCCTGTTTCACTTCCTCTCCCGCCCCTCCCCCCACGCAGCTGCACCCAACCCCTCCCATTCCAACCAGGACAGAGTCTGGAGGCCGAATGGTGCCCACCCAGAACAGGAGGGCTCTGCTGCCATGCCTGGTGGGCACACGGGGAGGGCACGCGGAGAAGAGACCGCGGCACGCGCAGGGCAAAGGCTGGAGGAGAAGGGGCCTGAGGGATGGACTGTGCGTGCCCGGCAGCTGGCAGAGGGAGAGGACCTGTGCCAGGTTGGCTGGGCTCCGAGTATGAGCGTTGTCACTAGGACGTGGGTCCTTAGACAATACCGCTCTCACCCCAACCCGTGAACTCCAGGATGGCCTTCTCGCAGCCTCCTAAGGGTCCGTGCTGGGGGACGCCTCCTCACGCTGCAGGGGAGGTCGGTACCAGGATGGAGTCCGTCCGTCTCCTGGGGTGGGAAGGCCTGAGCAGTGGAGTCTAAGTGGACTAATGAATAGTCACTCCTCTCTCCGCCCTGGGAGAGAAGGAAGCCCGTGGAATCTTCTTTCTCTTTCTCAGTTGGAGCTGGCGGGAGCCCCCTGTGCTCCGCTGGATGGAGTCTGCCCTCTGCAGGGTCTGCCTCTGCTTCTGGGCTCCCCGCTTCCCAGGGACCTCATTATCCCGCAGGATCGCATTCCCAGCCCTTCCACTGGTCAGCGAGGCTGGAGCTCAGGGACGCGGGCCTGAAGGCGCCCAGTCCTTTCTTTCCGCCCAGTTGCAGCATCGAGTCGGGGGAGGAGAGAGTGGTCTCCATTTATGGGTACAGGGAGCCCCAGAGTTATAGTCTTTTACTAAATATCTCTGGTTTTCATTGGATTGGATTTTAATACAACACCTCATTTTTCTAAAAGCGATTTGCTCCAAATCTGAACTAATTATAGACACAGTTCCAAATCTATAAAAATTGTTTAAAAAATCATGAGCAAACCAAAAATTTCAGTTTCTTGCATAGACGGTTGGTTCCCTTCCCAGTGTCTACTTTTTGCTGAGAAAATGCCAATTTGGTCTAGAATCGATGCTAAGTAGTCCAAGTCGACCATGAGAATTCCACCCCCCTAGTCAGTTCAGGAAGCACTCGTGGTGAAGTCCCCGTGGGGAAGTCAGCTGGGGAGCCTCTGGAACAGGTTCTCACTCCCCCCAAAACAGAGTGGTGTTCTTCCTGCTGCCCGGGACCCCGCTGTGCTGGGAGCGCTGCCTGGACCACGGCCTGGACCACGGCAGCTCTGTTGCCGCCGGCTGGAGGATGCAGCCGCGCACGGAGGAGGCAGAGCTGGCAGCTTTATCCGAGAGTGAAGTAGGGGCCCAGAGACTGTGCCGGAGCCCTGGCCTCTTAAAGCTTCCTTGTTCGGGGAGACAATACAGTTCTTTGTTCGAGCCACGGCGAGCCAGGGTTTGCAATTATTTGGAGCCAAAGGCCTCTGAGGTTATAGTCCAGTTGTTCTGAAGGGCATGCTCTTCATTCACTTAGTTCTAGGAAGCAGGCCCATCTGGTACCCCGGTTCATGGAAGGGTGGAAAGAGCCCGCTGGGGCGGAGAAGGGCTGTGAGAGACAGGCCGCTGGTCAGGGGTGGATGGATGGACAGACAGGCAGAGGCAAGAGCTCAGGATGGAGCCGTGCGGGGTTGTTTAATGTCAGGGCAAACAAATCCTCCCCCCTCAGTAGCCCCAATAGATCTCAGTGACTAATCCATAACCCTGGGCCAGGCCAGCCTCACCGAGGGCGTTTGTTTTCTGTTTAATGTCTGCCTGTTTCAGATGAGGCTAATCAACAGTTTAAAATGTCTCTTTGTAAACAAGGAAAAGGGCCAATGATCAAGGGAACAAACTTATCTGAAAAGGCACACGGGGAGCAAGCCCACTCCTCCCGGTGCTCGGTGCTCGGTGCCCGGTGCTCGGTGCTCGGTGCTCAGTGCTCAGTGCTCAGTACTCGGTGCTCGGTGCTCGGTGCCCGGTGCTCGGTGCTAGGTGCTCAGTGCTCAGTACTCGGTGCTAGGTGCTCGGTGCCCGGTGCTCGGTGCTCAGTGCTTGGTGCCCGGTGCCCGGTGCTCGGTGCTAGGTGCTCAGTGCTCAGTGCTCGGTGCCAGGTGCCCGGTGCCCGGTGCTCGGCAAATGAGCGCAGGACAGACGCAACAGGACGTTAGAAGTTGGCTCCATCCCGAGGAGGGGGAGCGGGCAAGGAGGCGGCGTTTCGATTTCTGCAGAGAGCGGCTCATTTCAGTTTGGTCCCATGACAGTCCCAGCCCAAGAGGAGCAAAGCTGGCGGATGAGCAGCAGTTACTGCATTTTGGTTCAGTGGCTCAGCGCTTTGCTCGGAAGCGGCCGTGGGAAGCACATGCCTGCTTGCCTCCCCTCCTGGAGGGGGCTGGGCCTCGTAATGAACACACACATAGTTCCCGGCCAGCAGCTTGTAGATCAAAATGACTGGAGAGGCTGCAGACACGAAAACTGCCCCAGCCCGGCCGACCGGGCTCAGGGGTAGAGCATCGACCTCTGAACCAGGAGGTCGCGGTTCGATTCCCAGTCAGGGCACGTGCCCGGGTTGTGGGCTCCATCTCCGGGGGGTGGGGAGGGGTGCATGCAGGAGGCAGCCGATCAATGATTCTCTCTCATCATTGATGTTTCTGTCTCTCTCTCTCTCCCTTTCTCTCTGAAATAAAAAGAAGCACATTTTAAAAATAAACAAATAAAACCGCACCTCCAAAGCAGGTTCTAAGTCTGTCCACACGAACACTAAACCACCAGTGGATTCAGTCACCTGAGTGAGACTGGCACAGACCAAGCCAGCTGCCACCACCTGCAGGAAACAGCTGTGGCTGAGCTCTGCCCACACCAGGGACTCAAATCGGGGGCGGCGTGTTTACCAAGGTCTTGGGCAGCTCAGAACTCAAGTGCTAAGATGAGCTTGGGGCTTTTGTGCGATCAGCGGGTGAATCTGTGGTCCCTCCCACCTCCCACCCTGCAGTGGGGAGCTGCGGGGGTGGGGGGATGAGAGGGGGTGGGGGACACAGCTGCACAGCTGCAGGCCGCGCAGGCCCACGGAGCCGCGCAGGCCCACGGAGCCGCGCAGGCCCACGGAGCCGCCCAGGCCTGCCGGCTCAGAGGCGGAAGATGAGCTGTCTGTGCCGATCCCCTCCCAGTGGGTACCTCTTTGGTTTTGAAATGACCCTTCACTGGGGAGTACGCCGAAACTGAAATAATATGTCCTAGGAGCTAAGTAAGAGGGGAGAAAACCGATACCTTTTCTATCTAATTGCCATCAACTATGCATGTGCCTTACGCATAGTAGGTACTCACAGTTTTAAAAAATGAATAAATGATTTATTAACACGAGTAAAGATGAGAACAATATAGAAAGAATTAAAGAGTTTTATTAAGAATGAAACAGACTGTTTTTTAAATCTTTATTGTTGAAAGTATTACATATGTCCCCCTTTTCCCCCATTGACCCCCTCCAGCCTGCACCCCCCACCCCCAGGCCTGCACCACCCTATTGTCTGTGTCCATGGGTGATGCATATACGCATACAAGTTCTTTGCTTGATCTCTTCCCACCCTCTCACCCACCCCTGCCTTCCCTCTGAGATTTGACCGTCTGTTCCATCTTCTCTGTCTCTGCGTCTACTTTGTCCCTTAGAGTCCACATGTGAGTGAGATCATGTGACACTGGTCTTGGACGGGCTCACTTTGTTTAGTGCGATGCTCTCCAGGAGGTGGGACAGACTCTTCAGATGAGTGGTTTCAATGCCGGTTTCCCCTTCACACCAGTGCACTGCCATGCGGAGGCCTTATTATTATTGTTGTCGTTGTTGTTGTTGTTAACAGCCCATGTTTTGGCATAGGGCTAAGTGCTCCACCTTCTGTTTCATTTACTGTCACAACAGCATGTGTACAGGCATTACACCCGTCCACAAATGGAGAAAGTGAGGCACAGAGAGGCCAAGCACGGTGCCGGGGCCGCCCCCGAGGAAAAGGTTGGGTCATCTCTCAAACGCAGGCCCATTCCAAGGCCCAGCCTTAGCCACTGCCCAGGCACTGACAATGGTTGTGATGAAGTTTTCCAAGGTTTTCTCTAGTGTTTTTTTTTTTTAAAATAAAGGGAACGTTGGAACCTCTCACTTGCACTCTAATACGTTGTTTTAGGGAGAGAGGAGGCTGGGTCACAGCTGATTGTGGAGAAGGGCGAGAAGCTATCCATGCCCACGAAGTGTCTCCTGTGTTTGTCACCGCGGAGAAAAGACGGAGTTACTTACTCGGCGACTCTAAGGATTGAAACTGAGTTCTAGCCAACACTCCCCAGGGCTCTGCAGTTCAAGGTTCTAGGGTTTTCATTTTCCTAAAATGCTTATTTGATTTTTAAGGTTCATTAGAGAACTGATTTAAAGATATGTTTACATTCTACATTCATTCATAGTTTAGACCAGTGGTTCTCAACCTTCCTAATGCCGGGACCCTTTAATACAGTTCCTCATGTTGTGGTGACACCCCAACCATAAAATTATTTTCGTTGCTACTTCATCACTGTAATGTTGCTACTGTTATGAATCGTCATGTAAATATCTGATATGCAGGATGTATTTTCATTGTTACAAATTGAACATAATGAAAGCATAGTGATTAATCACAAAAACAATATGTAATTATATATGTGTTTTCCGATGGTCTTAGGCGACCCCTGTGAAAGGGTCATTCGACCCCCAAAGGGGTCACGACCCACAGGTTGAGAACCACTGGTTTAGACTCATTCATGTAGCTAGTTACCATGTATGACTTCAGTGTCTCAATGACACCAAGTCTGCAATGCAAGGTGATGGCGCCAGTGGCTTTATTTATTAATTATTATTATTACTTTTAAAATGTATCTTTATTGTTGACAGCATTACCCATGCTCCCCCTTTCCTCCTCGGCAGCTTGTCTTTATTCAGTCTTTTCTCGGAATGGCCCACTTTCCTTCTTGGCTACCTGGTTCAGGGTCACAAAATACCCCGGCTTTCACGTTGGCGATCTCCAAGCGGGCCCACCCGCTCTGCCTTAGGGATAAACAAGCTGGTTCAGATGCCCGGATTTCAGAGAACTACTCTGCAATATTAAATTAAATGGTTTATGTATATAATACATACACACACACACACACACACACACATATATAAACATATACCTATTTATGCCCTTTTAACACAGGTATGCTACAAAATACATACTCACTGTTCCAGCAATACATGCTCCCTGGAAAAAAGAAATAAATAAGTGCATGAAGTAAAAATTTTCAGAAACTTCAGATAATTCGATTTCAAAGTTTACTGTTTTCCCGTCCATATGTTGGAGTTGGCTATTTTGTGAAGTTCCGGACTCTTCCTCCCACCCCCCCCCCACCCCCCGCCCCGTGGGAACGCCTCTTTCTTTCATTTTGAAGGCTCTGTCCTGCTCAATTGGATTCCACTCCCAGAAGCATCTCCCCGAGATGGAGGCCGTCCTGAAGGGAGTGCTGCCTCAGATGCACTGTTTTGTGGGTGTCCTTGTCTCCCCTCCTTTGGATGCCCCCGAGTCTCTGCCCTCACCCACAACCACTGCCGGCGGTTTGCCATCCCCTGTGTTTCCGTCGGGGCGGGTGGGACAGCTTGTACCCGGTTTGGTTGTGTGTGTTGTTCAGGGGTTTGGGTTTTCCTCTTTAACTGTTCTGTTTTTCAGTAGAAATGCAGGAAAAAATCAAAAGCTACGTCCCTGTTACTTCCAGAACCTCCTTCTACCCTCAGGCTTCCTGTTGTGGATGACAAGTTAATGCAAAACAAGAGAATGCCATCCTTCCTCGCCCCGGACTAAACAACAATATGTGTGTCCGCCCCGGTGCCCCCCCCCCCCCCCCCCCCCCCCCCGGCAGCCCCGTAGGAGCTGCAACAATGCCAATCCCGGGCCCATCCTGAGACTGAGTTAATTGGTCTGGGGCGGGTGCTCCCCAGCTGGTTCCAATGCAGACCCAAGGTTGGCAACCGGTAATAATAAGAAAAACATTTTAGCCCTCACTGGTCTGGCTCAGTGGATGGAGCGTCGGCCTGCGGACTGAAAGGTCCCAGGTTCGATTCCGGTCAAGGGCATGTACCTTGGTTGCGGGCACATCCCCAGTAGAGGGTGTGCAGGAGGCAGCTGGTCAATGTTTCTCTCTCATCCATGTTTCTAACTCTCTATCCCTCTCCCTTCCTCTCTGTAAAAAATCAATAAAATATATTTAAAAAAATTTTAAAAGCTTTTCAAAGTCCTGGGAATCTACAGACATGAAACCCTTACTCTCTGTTTCCTCAACCTGCATGAGAGTGCAGCTCTTCCCCCTTCTTCTCCTCTATGGTTCCGGGACGGCTCACCCATCCCCCAGCAACTGGCGCAGTCAGCTCACGAGGTGTGGCCCATCAGGGGGCTCCATCTCAGTCCAGATGGGCACGTGACCCACACTGAACCAATGAAAAATTTCCCTGTGAGATTTGCTAGAGCTATGATGGAAGGGTTTCCCTCTTCACAGAAACGGTGTGAGCTGCAAGATCAAAATAAACCTTGAATTTGTTTTGCCATCTTGGCTCCCAAATGAGGAAAACCTGCCTGGAGGGGAGAGCACTGTTGAGAGACGGAAGGAAAAAGGATCTTGACAGCACTGTGGCCGGGGCTTTTCGGGGTCTAAAATAGAATACCCCTCTTGCTCTGAATTCAGAATAAGCTGCGGTAAAGGGACAGGAAACAGTCTTATTGCGGAGAAGCGGAGGAGGCATGTCTCTGGGTTCCTGCCCAAAAGGACTCTCTAACTCTGCCCCTTAGCTCAGCTGGTTTGCAGCTCGTCACGGGCATGGCTGGAGGCTGCAGACTCTGCCCTCCATGGCAGGCTGCTCAGCACGGGTAGGAGAGCCACGTGGGGACGATGTCCCGGTCAGACCAGAGGGAGGCACTGGAAGCGCTGATCCAGGCCCCCGCTCCAGGTCCGTTCCCAGTTCCCCGCGTGGGGAACGCTCTCCTGGGCCATGGCTCATGGCCTGGTGACTTGAGTTGCTACTAGACTTTGGCCTCCACTCAGCCCCTCCGGCCAATGTCCCTGCAGACCAGGTGGCCCCCCTCACTCCTGGAGAAGTGCTTGCGAAGCGGCGGGTGCGAGGCTCCTCCGCGCTTGCTCCTCCCGGGAGACGGACAGCTGGTTCAGCCCTGGCTTCATTGCACAGGAAGCCACTTGCACCCCCCGAATTTGCAGTTGTGACCAAATACATTCTCTTTCTTTGTGAAGCCAGTTTGACTTGAGTTTTTGCCACTTAGCGGCCCAAACTTTGGATGCGTATGTTAGCTCCGTTCCTTGCGTTTAGTAAAATTCATGTTAAGAAACGTACTGGCCCTAGCCGGTTTGGCTCAATGGATAGAGCATCGGCCTGCGGACTGAGGGGTCCCAGGTTCAGTTCCGGCCAAGGGCACATGCCTGGGTTGCGGGCTCCATCCCCAGTAGGGGGCGTGCAGGAGGCAGCCAATCAATGATTCTCTCTCATCATTGATGTTTCTATCTCTCTCCCTCTCCCTTCCTCTCTAACATTAATAAAAAATTTAAAAAAAAAAAAAAAAAAAAAGAAACGTACTGAGTGGCTGTGGAGAAATACTGTCCTTTTGGTGCCATACGGGGGCCTCCTTGGAGGGAACCTCAGGCTTACGATTGGATTTGGACAGGACTGTCCTCTCGGGGTCTTCAGAGGTGGCCTCATCCACAGGCTTCTCCAGTTCCCGGCCTCGCTCCCTCGCCCCCTCTCTCCCTGGTCCCCTCTCTCCCTTGTCCCCTCTCTCGTCCCCTCTCTCCCTCACACCCTCTCTCCTGGGCCTGGGGGGCGCGATTCACTCTTCCTGGCTCAGCGGCTGCGCCATCCCCCCATCCCCGGGGCGTCCCCCGGCCTCCCTCACCGCTTGTAAACAGTCCTCGGCTCTTCTACTTGTTCTCTGGCTGTAGCATCGCTCCCGTTGGCCTCTGGACTGACAGCCGACGGGTCATCACGTGACCTGGACACAGGCATGCCTTTGCTGGCTCTGCAATGTGGTCAGAGAGCTGACAGAGCCGCTTCTAAATGCACGGCCGTACAAAGGTCAAAAGGCTTCAATGTGCTTCCCAAGGAAACATTTTTTAGCCGCACCCCCCCCAACAAGTACAATGTTTGGCTATATCCTATTTAATAAAAAACACATTTTCAAAATTAACACCCTCCCCCACCCCTGGGCACATCTCCCCCCGATCAGATTCCCAGTAATAAGACATACCAACATCTAGATAGGAAGACGTATTTGCTCAGCTCAGAATTTCCCAAGTGATGAGAAGACGTCACAAATTTTACTTAAACTGTAAATATTATTTTAAAGTATCACATTCAAAAGGAGCTTGAGAATAAAGTAGGGTTTTTTTTGGGGGGGTGCTATAGCTTTTCATGCAGTATTCTCAGATGAATGTACTATTTCTTCCTCCCCCCTCCCCCCTTCTTTTCTCTTTGACCAAGGGAGAAAGACTTTAAAATGTTATTTTTGACCTCCACGTCTCCACCTTACCTGTCTGCTAACTTCATTTGCTATGAGATGTGCGCTGTGCATAATGAGAATTGCTTTTGGGAGCGGCATTTTAAACGGGTTCTGATGTGCTGCGGAGGTCCTGTTAGCGACACAGTGTCAGCGGGTCCCTAGCTCTCCCTGCATCCCAATAACCAAGGAGAAAGCACAGGGAGAAAGAGACAGCCGTGCACGAGAACACCAAGGGCATAGAGCGCCATGCGTGGCCTTCACAACAAAAGGGCGTGACCGGCACGAAGACAAGGATACAGAGTCAGGGAGTGTATGAACAAGATGAGCAATCATGAGAAAAGTGAGCATTCTGTCCGGCCGGCATGTCTCAGTGGCTGAACATTGACCTGTGAACCAAGAGGTCACAGTTTGATTCCTGGTCAGGGCACATGCCTGGGTTGCGGGCTTGATCCCAGTAGAGGGTGTGCAGGAGGCAGTTGATCAATGATTCTCTCTCATCATTGATGTTTCTATCTCTCCCTCTCCCTTCCTCTCTGAAATCAATAATATATATTGATTTCAGTTTCTCCATCTGAAAGGCAGAGGGACAGTGCACACCCGCAGGATTGCTGTGAGATTTCTGTAAGTCACCATGAGCCAAGTGCTGAGCGCAGTGCCTGGCAAGCAGCAAGCCCTGCCTATGTACTGTTTTGGTCTGGGTGGTGGTGACATGGGTGTGTGCATATGTAAAAATGCATTGAGCTGTAGCCTTAAGATTTATTTACTTTCCTGTATGTACATTACACCTAAAAGCACACACAACCTAATCTGAGTTAATAAAGATGGGCAAAGGGCTTAAGATCACAAAAGAAGAAATCAACTGACTTCGAGATGATGAACACAGACGCACACTCCGTCTCAGCAGACAAAGGAAAAGCTATTTTTAAATGATAATACCTATCGCTGAGCAAGATGAGGGTGTTAGGGGGAAGATCCGACGTGAAGCTTTGTGGACAAATGCCTATTCAGGAAGTTCTTCAGTGTGAAACCAGCAAGGGTGTGGGGGAAGTGCTGGGGGAGGAAGAAGCGCCGCAAAGGTGTGCGTTCAGGGGAGGGCTCACTCCCAGCCTCGCCCCAGGGAGGTCTGGAGAGTAAAGGACACTGAGTAGGCGGCTCTGCCCCGAGGCGAGTGACCTGGGCTCTCATACTCAGGAGTAGGCTCCCTGCTGCCCCGAGAACATGGTGGTGAAGGCAATGGACATGCTCTTGGACTCACGGTCCTCTGCTCTCTGGTAGGAAGACAGATAAAAACAAGGGCCTAATTAATAAGGGAGGCGAGTGCTGTAAAGAAACAAAGCATGTGTGAGTACATTTTTAAAAAGCTTGATGTTAGCCCGACTGGTGTGGCTCAGTGGTTGAGCATTGACCCATGAACCAGGAGGTCATGGTTTGATTCCTGGTCGGGGCACATGCCCAGATTTCGGCTCAATCCCCAGTGTGGGGCGTGCAGGAGGTAGCTGATCAATGATTCTCTCTCACCATTGATGTTTCTATCTCTCTCCCTCTCCCTTCCTCTCTTTGAGATCAATAAAAAAAAAAAAAACCCCAACATATTAAAAAGCTTGATTTTACCAGGGTTCCCTAAAGAAGTTAGAACTGAGACCTAAGGATAGTAGGTGATAGCTGTGCCCAAATGAAGGGGGCAGTTAGGCTGTTAGGAGCAGTTGTAGGAGGGAACTGTTTTGCCTGAAGGGGCAGATTGGGGGTGGGGCTGGGGGAAGGGGCATCAGAATAAAAGAGGATCAGAAAGTTAGCCTGGCTGGGGACCGGACAGCAAGGGGAGGAGTATCAGCAGATAAGCCCAGAGACAGGTCAGTCCCTGCAGGTCCTGTTAGGGATTGTTGTCCTTATCGTAGAGCAGTGGGGACTCATTGAGGATTTTAGGGAGAAAGACTAGAACAAGACTTGCATTTTGCAAGGGCATGACTGCAGCGTGGGAAATGGCTGGAATGGCTGTGGGGAGATCCATCAGGAGATGGCTGTAGAAGTACCATTCTCCAGTGGGCTGGAGGGGGTCGGTGGGGGGAAGAGAGGGACATATGTAATGCTTTCAACAATAAAGATTTAAAAAAGAAGTGTCATTGATATGTGTTTATAACTTAAATGGGGTCTTCACAGTAGAGATGAAAAGAAATGGACTCAGAGGATAAATACCTATAGGCAGGATTTGGTGATGAGTAGATAGGGGGGCTGAGGAAAGAGCAAGGATTAGAATGACTCTTAGGTTTCTGACATGAGTAAATAAATGCATGAATCAGGTGCCACTGAATAAGTGGTAAACACTGTAAGAGAACCTAGTTTGGATGTTAGATTGTGAATTTCACCTCGGACATGTTGAGTTTCATGTAACTTGAAGATTTCTGGTGAGCATGTGATCAAAACAGGAAAAGATGGAGAGTCCTGCTGAAACCGGTTTGGCTCAGTGGATAGAGTGTCAGCCTGCGGACTGAAGGGTCCCGGGTTTGATTCTGGTCAAGGGCATGTACCTTGGTTGCGGGCACATCCCCAGTGGGAAATGTGCAGGAGGCGGCTGATCGATGTTTCTCTCTCATCGATGTTTCTAACTCTCTATCTCTCTCCCTTCCTCTCTGTAAAAAATCAATAAAATATATTAAAAAAAAAAAGATGGAGAGTCCTGATGGACATTTTTACCCAACCACGGTTACCACGTTTCTCTAGTGACTGTGTTTGCGCTTTCCAGGTGTAGCGTCTGTCTTTCTAGAACAGTTAGAACAAACCTCGCAACATGTTTCTCTATAACAGGTGAATAACAGCTGAAGAGCTGGGGCAGTCCAGTTCAAGATGTCAGATTGGACAAAAGCATTCCAATCCCTTCCTTCCTTCATCCAGCTAGGAGAACAGTAAAGTGGTTTTAAACAAAACATAAATGCACAAGGACAAAGGGAACGGGAAGGAGATAATTAGCATTTTAGAAACTAGGAATCAGGTAGGCAGGTCGTAACTCAGCTGGGACACTCAAGAAAGTGAATCTTAAACTAGATGATAACCAGCCCAACTTATACTTTGGATCCCTAAAAATGTGGAGCAACAGGTATCTTAGGAAGTGGGAGTGAGGGTAGGCATTTCACCAGGGATTTGGTGGAAAGTCTTTATAAGAAGCTGGTAAATCCCCAAGTTCCCACCCCTGTTCCTTGCAAGTAGGAGACTACCTCTCCCTCGCTCAGTATGAAACTGAAGGCTTATTCTTGTGATCAGAACACACAGAGGGACCCGGGGTGGGGTGGTAGGGAGAGGGCGAGAGCTACAGCAGCGAAGAGTGAAGTGTAAGTTTATAAATTGTGTGTTGAAACTTCCTCAATCTTTTTTCTCCACTTTGCTCCCAGAATCCTACCAGCCAGGCCTATGCTTTCTGGGCAGAAGGCTGGAAGAATCCTCTGGGAAATCCAATCAGCCGAAGAGGAAATGCGCTGACATGGGCCCAGGTGTTGGCCTGGGTCACATCGTCCTGTAGCAAACCCAGCGAACAGTCCCCTTATGCACACAGCGCCTCCTCTTCTCAAGGTCCTGTATTTAATGCAACTAGACAGCCGGTGATCACCAAGTATTCAAGGAATACCTATTAAAGAGACCAAAACAAACGGGAGAAAGCAACTTGATGGAAACAAACTCTGCCAACAGAAACCATGGGAAGCAAACTCTTGTCCTCAGAGATCAGAGAAGATATGAGTACGAACTGGGTTATCTGTGAAAGGGATATTCAGCAAGCTCAAAGGAAACTTAGATATTAATAAGTATAACATTAGAAATGAGAAATTCAACATGAGGGCGAGGAGATAATGTTAAGGCATCTCCCAGGAAGTAGAGGAATATAGAATGGAGGTATGAAGTATAGAATGGAGGTGTTTTTTAAAAAAAAAAAAATTATTGATTTTTTACAGAGAGGAAGGGAGAGGGACAGAAAGTTAGAAACATTGATGAGAGAGAAACATTGATCAGCTGCCTCCTGCACACTCCCTACTGGGGACGTGCCCGCAACCAAGGAATCAAACCTGGGACCCTTCAGTCCGCAGGCTGACGCTCTATCCACTGAGCCATACCTGTCAGGGGTGGAAGTGTTTTTAGATATGCAAGGTCAGAACAATGTTACTGCCTTTACAGTCTTTCTCAGGAGGCTCTTGAGTTGTGCCCTTCACTAAAACAAAGAAACAAACCAAGAAGGAGGAAGACGTAGGAACCAGGAAGTAAGATACAGACAAAAGAGAGATGCAGAGAACCCCCAGAATGAGGATGAGGGGGCCCCAACCTCTTCACTGGGGCTAATGCTAGAGAGCATGTGACCCAGAGGGGAGCAGGTCTGCTTTTTCCCAGGTGATGGAGTGGTTCGAGTCCCCAGTGCCTTTGCCTGTATTGGAAGTAGATTTGCACAGTGGAGGGGAACATTTGAATGTGTAACGAGTACAAAGAAAACGAAGTCAACAGCAGTCACATGACCATGACAGTAAGTCCAGGGGAACTAGGAGGCTGGGCAGTAAGGGAAGAGCGGTCACCACGGGCGATAGGTATTAGC